CCTGTGGACAGTGACTCACCGCAAAATCATCAGTTTATTGGTGCAATGTATATGTACTCTTCAGAAATACTGAGAAAATGAGGGACTCTGGAGAATTACACGCAAAGGGGTGTGGAATGAGTATGCTTAGTATCCTACTGAAAGAGCCTCTGGAGAAAAGCCCAAAGTTTCTGCTTCCCTTCTCAGTTATCCAAACTCCTGATAATTGATAGCCAAAGTTTAGGAAAAGGGCAGTACAAACCAGTGGCTGGCTGGGCGCAGTGGTTCATGCCTGTAATCCCAGCACTTTGGGAGGCCGAGGCGAGTGGATCATGAGGTCAGGAGTTCGAGACCAGTCTGACCCACATAGTGAAACCCCATCTCTATAAAAAAAAAAAAAAAAACCACAAAAATTTAAAAAAAGCAAACTAGTGGATAATAAAGGCCTATCTTCTTTCAATGTACCCAGCATAGAAAGACTGAGAAAGAAATAATACTGCTATGAAAAACAAAACAAAACAACGCTGTGCATTGTTGTTGAATGGAAGAACCCTCTAGTACATATTGAAAGGTCAGGTAATTATTTTAAAGTAACATTCACTCTTTTTTTCTGGTTATGAAATAATGCATATTTCTTGTAGAAAATTTAGAAAATACAGAAATATTAGGAAAAAAGGTGAATTAAAATTTACCATAATCCTACCACTCTGATTCTACAGTTAATATTTTTGCATATGTGTGTGTGCATGAATGTAGTTTAACTGGGATCATACTGTAATCTTTTTTTTTCTTTTTTATCCTCTTAAAGACAGCTTATTCTTTCTCTTGTTTTGTTTTCAGAGACAGAGTCTCGCTCTGTTGGCAAGGCTGGAGTGCAGTGGCACAATCATAGCTCACTGTTGCCTTAACCTTTGGTGCTCAAATGATTCTATTTTAACTTTCCGAGCAGCTAAGACTACAGGTATATACCACCACACCTGGTTTGTGTGTGTGTGTGCGTGTGCGTGTGTGTGTGTGAGTAGGGGGGTCTATGTTGCCCAAGCTGGTCTTGAACTCCTGGCCTCATGCAGTTCTACCGCCTCAGCCTCCCAATGTCCCGGGATCACAGGCATAAGTCACTGTGCCCAGCCCAGTTTATCCTTTTCATTTAATATATTATAAACATTTTCTCCAATTCATTATGCCTCCTTTTAAAAATGTTTTAAGAGACAAATAATTATTAAACCAGTTCCCTGTTCTAATGGTTCACCATAATGAAGCAGCGTTTTTAATAAAACCCCTCTGAAATAAATCTGCTTTTTTTTATTTTTTATTTTTATTATTATTATTATTTTTTGAGACGGAGTTTCGCTCTTGTTACCCAGGCTGGAGTGCAATGGCGCAATCTCAGCTCACCGCAACCTCCGCCTCCTGGGTTCAGGCAATTCTCCTGCCTCAGCCTCCTGAATAGCTGGGATTACAGGCATGCGCCACCATGCCCAGCTAATTTTTTGTATTTTTTTTTTTTTTTTTTTAGTAGAGACGGGGTTTCACCATGTTGGCCAAGATGATCTTGATCTCTTGACCTCGTGATCCACCCGCCTCAGCCTCCCAAAGTGCTGGGATTACAGGCTTGAGCCACTGCGCCCGGCCAATCTGTTTTTTTAAAAAGAATAAATTTCTATAGGTGGAAAAGTTGGATCAAATAATACAGTTTAAAATGTTTTGATTTATGTTGTCTTTCAGAAAGATAGTATTAATTTATATTCCCAACGACATTGTGTATTTATCAAAAATCCTTAACAAAAAGTATCCCACTGTTTCTTAAAAAAAGCATTTAATTTTGTGTGCTGGGGAGTATGAGCATTTTAAAAATAACATCTACCTGTATGAATTCCCTCTTTGACGGCATACCTATTCATGTCCTGCACCCATTTCTGCATGTAGGGTGCTAATGTTTTATATACTGGTTTCTCAGAGGTCTAGACACTAACATCAACCTTTTATCACATTTGTTAAAAGACATTTTCTCAAATATATCATTTGCCTTTTCGGTAATGATATTTGATGTATCTAGATCTTGCATATTTATTCAAACATGTCTACTCACCCTTGCCTTCGGTTTCCTCCCATGCCTTAACACCTAGGCCTTCCCACCATATAATTCGTGTATGTTTCCACCTAATTCTCTTGTGATTTGTTTGTTTGTAGTTATCTGAGTTCTTATATTTATTTTGATGATATTTAAACAAGTCCTTAGTTTTACTTTTTTTCCAAAGTAATTTCCCCAACCTAATTTATTAAATAATTTAGCCATTTGTCCTTTTCCTCACAAAAGTGAAATGCCACCTTCATCATACAGTGAATTTTTAAGTATATTAAATGTTCCTAGACTTTCAGTTATTCCACTGATGCTTAATCCATCCATTCTTTTTTCAACACTACCCAGTTTTAACTACAGTGTTGCAATACGCCTTAAGATTTTATAATCCACGTCTATCTCCCCCTGTGTTTGTTTGGTTTGGTTTGGTTTTTTTGGCTTTTTGAAATAGAGTTTTGCTCTTGTTGCCCAAGCTGGAGTGCAATGGTGAGATCTTGGCTTACTGTAACTTACGTCTCCAGGTTCAAGCGATTCTCCTGCCTCAGCCTCCCAAGTAGTTGGGATTACAGGTGAGCGCCCCGATGCCCGATTAATGTTTTGTATTTTTAGTAGAAACAGGGTTTCACCATGTTAGCCAGACTGATCTCGAACTCCTGACCTCAGGTGATCTGCCCGCCTTGGCCTCCCAAGGTGCGGGGATTACAGGCGTGAGCCACCAAGCCTGGCCATCCCCCTCATTTTTAAAAGATAAATTTCCTAGCCTTTCTCACAGATATTCTCCCATTGAATGTTAGAAAAAATGTTAAGTGCCCCCTCCCCCAATCTACCCACAACTATGAAAATTTTATTAAATAGAGTAATTTGCATTAAGTTGGTCTTTGTGCTTCTATTCCTTCAAGCCTTCCTTATGTTTCGACCTTTGTAATGTCTTCATTAAGAGCCTGCACATTTATTCAGTTTATTTTTTAGGTATTTTACAGTTTTCCAATAGTTGGGTTTCTTGTTTGTTTGTTTGTTTGTTTTTGCTTTACATTAAAACTGCTCTTCAAGGTCCAGTTGAAGCTTATGAACGCTGATTTAATTTTTTTTTCCCGATACGTCTTTATGTGCAGGAAAGCAGTTAGAAACTAAAGGCTCGGCCGGGCGCGGTGGCTCACGCCTATAACGCCAGCACTTTGGGAGGCCGAGGCGGGTGGATCACGAGATCCATCGAGACCATCCTGGTCAACAAGGGTGAAACTGTCTCAAAACAAAAAACAAAGAAAGAAACTAAAGGCTCTTCAGTAGCAGTTATTTATTGAGTGTTCACTTTATATCTGGTATAGTGATTATCCTTTTACACGCATTATCTCATTTAATTTCCAGCAGGTTCGTGCAACTTTTATTCCCATTTTACACGACGGATTCCAAGCTCCGAGTTTCAGGAACTTGACAAATATCACCCGGTTGGTAGGTGGATTTGATTCTAAATTTGCGAATCTCTAAAAATATCACAAAAATCAATCCGTCAAGAGGATAGCCCAATATTACGCCATCGGATGGGCTGACTTAAAAGAATGACCCTCCAAAAACAATCAACTGAATTAAAACGACGATGTTTTCCATCTACCGGACGACCCGGCAAAAAAAACAAACGAAAACAAAACAAAAACAAAAAGTTTTCCTTCAGTGTGAGGCGTGAAGTATTCGGTAGGAGCACAGCAAATACCAGCGACTTAGGCTCCTTTAGAATTAGGGACTCGTGGGTGAACAAGGGTGGTTTTTCCGCAGCGTTCGCAGGAATTGTCCATTTGGAAATCTACCTCCTCATGGCAGGACAGGTTTAAAAGAAGAGGAAAAACAAAAAAACAGAAAAAAGAGAGAAACAGAAAAACAGGTGGAACCGATGTAAGGACGGCTAGAGCAGAGCGCGCGGAAGGCAGAACTTTCTGGGGGCGTCCAGCCCGCGCGTTTCACGCATGGTGAGCGCAGGTGGCGCCGCGGTCCCTAGGCTCCCCGGGCAAGCCGGCGGGGTGCCCAGAAGGCCACTGCTAGTCTCAACGAAGGTGAGAGGGAAGCTTTCTGCCGAAGCGAGGGAGGAGGGAGGGCAGGAAGCGGAGCCAGAGCTGGCAAAGAAAGGCTCCAATTCCCAGCCCCCCGCCCCGCGGGGCGCGGGGCGCCCGCAGCGCATGCGCGAGGCCCGGCCCCCAATTCCCCCAGCGAGGGAGGGAGGGCCCCGGCGGCCGGGAGCCTGCGAGCCGCGGCGGGACCCGAGCGCACGTAGGGGCGCGGCGGCGGCCAGGACTAACCGGGCTGCAGAGGCGGCCGTCAGGAGTGCGGGGCGCCCCGGGCGAGGGTCCAGCCGCCGGCAGGCACCAGAAGGCACAGCTGCCTCGGCCCTGGGAGGGGCCTGGCGCCCGCAGCCCCCCACGCCCAGAGAGGATGCGTGAGTTTCGCCCCGGCTCGAGGGCAGGATGTGGGAGCAGGACAAAGGCTGGGCGGCGGGGGAGGAGTTGGGGACTGCGAGCCGGTGGCCGCCGCCAGAGCCCCAGCCTTGAGCGAGCTAGCAGAGTCGGCAACTTTCTCTGCAACTTTTGGAAAAGGGAAGATAAAAATTCTGCAAGTTGTTGCACAGCTCCATATCGCCCCGTGTCCGGCGAGCTGAGGGGAGGGGGCACCGAAGCCTTCCCCAGACGGGAGGCTACCGCCCGCTCCTCAGAGCGGCGCAGGAGGGGGCGCCCGCCCGGGCCCGGGGCTAGGGGCGAGCGAGGATAGGGACACAGGGGGTCGGAGCCGGGAGCACGCTCCGGCCGCTGAAGTTGCCCCTGTCCACGCAGGGTGCGCCCTGAGAGCCCGGTAGCCTCGGATCGCGGCGCTGCGTACGCGATGATGGATGAGCCGTGGTGGGAAGGGCGCGTCGCCTCGGACGTCCACTGCACCCTGCGCGAGAAGGTCAGTCCCTCCCTGCCCTTGTCACTCGCAGGACTGGGTAGTCTCCTTCAGTCTCGACTTCGTGTTCTCAGGTCGCCCGCGTGGGAACTCAGAACTCCCGGGTGCCTTTCTTTCCTCCTACCCTTTACCTTCTCTCGAGTGTCTGGGTGGAATTGGGGTTCGGGGGTTAGAGACGAGAGATTGGAGAGATTGAAGTTGATTTTTTTTATTAGGAGCTCACAGCTCTGGGCCAACTAGTCAGAGATAGCCACTGTACCTCTAAGGCAGTGTTTCCTATAGTATTGCCACCCTAGATTATTTTAAACCATACGTGAATGGGTCTTTTAAAAATATTGTGCATTTATTCTCATGTGTAATTTAAAAATGTGTATATGCCTAACAAGCTCTGCATTTGCGATTTTCCATTTATTGTAATAATTATATAGCAGTTTCTCTTAAAACAAATTTATTTTGAGTAAAAGTAGTGACTTTTTATATATTTTGTATAAAGATGAGTGGTAGTACAGGGAATACATGGTTATGGCTAAATACATGTATCTGTGTATATATCTGGAATGGGACCGAATGAAATGTAAGGAACACCAGTGTAATTGAAAGAGGCTACAAAACTGGGAGGCTGAGGGATGAAAACAAAAACTCCCCTGCGGGTTTGCCTCCTGTGGCAGAAGGTGGGTGGCAGCAACTGAAATGTGATCTGTGCACACCCCTCCCCTCGAAGAGAGAAGAGCTGAGGGGCACTGGGAAGGTGGAAGAGTCCAGGTGGGCTGGAGGCATGGCCTGTGTGTCTTGCCTCCAGCCCTCCGGCTGAGCCTGGCAAGGGGTGGTTTGGGGAACAGGTGTGAAGTAGGAAGTGGATTGGTTTCCTAGGGCTGCCATTGTGAAGGACCACAAACTGGAGGGCTTAAAGCAGCAGAAATTTATTTCTGCTCTGGAAGCTGAAGATCCCAGATCAAGGTGTTAGCAGGGCCGGGACTCTCAAAAGGCTCTAGAGGAGGATCTTTGCTTCTTCCTTCTTAGGTTTGCTGGTGCTTGGTCATCCTTTGTCATCCTTGGCTTGTAGGTACATCATTCCAGTCTCTGCCTCCACTGTCATGTGATTCTGTCTGTGTGTCTGTCTGTCTTCTCTTCTTTCAAGGATACGCAGTCATTGGAGTAGAACCCACCCTAATCCAATGTGATGTCATCATAATTTAATTATACCTGAAAAAACTCCATTTCCAAGTAAGGTCACATTCTGAAGTTTCAGAGTGACAGATATCAGATTTGGGGGGACACTACTGAGCCCAAGACAGGGAGGAAAAGGTCTTCCTAGTGCGGTACTCGAGTTCCCATGCAGGTCTCACAGTCAGTGCGTTTGTACCGAGTGTCTGGAGGAGCCCTGCTTAAATAAAGGGTCTCCGGCTCCTTAGTGTTTGGTCCTCGTTGAGTAGCTGTCTTCCAGTCAGATTAATGCTGTTTTCTTTTCTTTCTGCACCTGCTGACCTGTCTCCGTCCTGCATTGCTCAGCAAGGCCGTAGCTTTTCTCTGTTCCCTTGGTCTTCTTCCCAGAACAGAGTGGCCAAGGTGTAGTACATTCTAGGCATCTGGACAAGAGGAAATCTTGTAGTACATTCTAGGCCTCTGGACAGGAAGCTTTTCTCTGTTCCCTTGCTCTTCCCAGAACGGAGTGGCCAAGGTGTAGAACATTCTAGGCATCTGGACAAGTCTTGTTGGTTCAGTTGAAATATAAGGGAAGTGGTAGGGGGATGTGGACCAGGCAGTATGGTTCTGGTCCTTTTCTGGAGGTAATGGCTGAATGGAGTTAGGACTGCCGTGGGAATTGGGCTTCCTTGTTAATCAATCATAGGCTCAAATGTTGTCGTTTCTGCTCATAGCTTAGGAGGAACGACTTCGACCTGGTTTGCCCCTTTCTAGAAGGAAGGATTTCTGGGAGCAATAAATGCCATTTGTTTAGTTACCTGAGAATGCCCAACCTTTATATAAGAGAGGTTGTCCTAAGTGTTCCTTCAGCTGCTCAAAGAAGCAGGAAAGGCAGTTCTCCATTAACTGCTTTAGCTATGTCATAGTGTCATATGAGTTTACTATTGGGCTGCCCACCTGGAAGACAAGATGGGTTTGTCCCAGAAATAGAAAGCTCACCCAAGGACTGATGTCCAAGGTCAAACTTGACTTAAAGCTGGCCATATTAGGGCAAATCCTAAGTTTCTTTGGTTATAATGCCCCATCTCCTCAAAATACTGCTAATTGCTCTTCTTTATTTCCTCTCCCTCTTCAAAGAAGAAAATGCTTCTGGCCGGGTGCGGTGGCTCAAGCCTGTAATCCCAGCACTTTGGGAGGCCGAGGCGGGTGGATCACGAGGTCAAGAGATCAAGACCATCCTGATCAACATGGTGAAACCCCATCTCTACTAAAATTACAAAAAATTAGCTGGTCATGGTGGTGCGCACCTGTAATCCCAGCTACTCAGGAGGCTGAGGCAGGAGAATTGCCTGAACCCAGGAGGCGGAGGTTGCGGTGAGCCGAGATCGCGCCATTGCACTCCAGCCTGGGTAACGAGCGAAACTCCGTCTCAAAAAAAAAAAAGAAAATGCTTCTTCAAAAATTTGGCTTCATGGAGTTTGGCAAGAAGAGCCAAGACTAGGGGAACTTAGTAGCCAAACTGGCCTCGCCTTTCTTGAGGAATGAGGGCTGTCCTTCTGTTTTACCCAGACAGGGTAAATTTTATTTTAATCAAATATCTACTCTCATAATGTGTTTCTAACACTATAGAACAACTTTATAAGTGCCTGGCACACAGTAGACACTCTTTGTTGCATGTTGCCAGGTGAATACAAAGCATGTTTACATATATGCTGTGTAACTGTTACTATAGAACCACAAGCAGTTATCCTCACGTGACCCACACAGGAGGTGAAGCTGAGATCACTGAGACAGTGGGAGCCCCGCTTTGTCAGATATGAGATTCCAGTTGAGCATCATACTACAGGATATTAAAAACTTGACACCATGGAAACAAGTCTTGGTATTGCCTGCACGCTAGTGATGGAAGTGAAACCCTGAGCTGCTCATTCAACTTCTCTAAATCTGGCCCCTATCGTCCATTCTTCCCAGAATAGCCAGAATTTAGATTGTATCATTCTCTGCTTAAAGACCTCCAATGTCAGGCGGGGCACGGTGACTCACGCCTGTAATCCCAGCACTTTGGGAGGCCGAGGTGGGTGGATCACGAGGTGAAGAGATTGAGACCATCCTGGTCAACATGGTGAAACCCCGTCTCTACTAAAAATACGAAAACTTAGCTGAGCATGGTGGCGTGTGCCTGTAAGCCCAGCTACTCCGGAGGCCGAGGCAGGAGAATTGCCTGAACCCAGGAGGCGGAGGTTGTGGTAAGCCGAGATCACGCCATTGCACTCCAGCCTGGGTAACGAGCAAAATTCCGCCTCAAAAAAAAAAAAAAAAGACCTCCAATGTCACCCACTGCACTTACAATAAAATTCCCAGTCCTTACTGCTGCTTGGAATACCCAGCAGTCTGGCTCTGATCTGCTCTCTGACCTTGTCTCCTACCCACTCCTAGCCCCCACCCTCCATTCCATTGCTCTTGAGCCACACCTCTTTTCTGTTACTGGAATAAGTCAAGCTTGTTCACATCTCAGGGCCTTTGCACTGGCTGTTTCCTCTATTTGGATTCTGTGTTTCTCAGACTGACACATGGTTGCTTGCCTCCCTTAATCTATTACTGCCTCTCCATGTCACTCTACTAAATCACCTTGTTTTTCTCTTCCTAGCATTGACTGGGGTCTGAAGTTATTTTTTGTTTGCTGCCCTTCTTCCCACACTAGAATATATGCTGCATGAGAAGAGGCCTGCGTCTGCCTTGTTCTGTGCTGGGGTCTCTCGGTGCCTTGAACACCGCCTCCCAATGTGTATGGAATGGCAAGGAGAATAAGTCAGTCTTTGCTTTTCTGTTCTGTAAGCTGGGAGAAATGTTTTACAGCAATTTGGGAGGCCGACGCGGGTGGATCACGAGATCGGAAGATCAAGATCATCCTGGCTAACATGGTGAAACCCTGTCTCTACTAGAAATATAAAAATTAACTGGGCATGGTGGCGTGTACCTGTAATTCCGCTACTCTGGAGGCTGAGGTAGGAGAATGGCTTGAACCAGGGAGTTGGAGGTTGCAGTGAGCTGAGGTTGTGCCACTGCACTCCAGCCTCGCGACAGAGCAAGACTCCATCTCAAAAAAAAAAAAAAAAAAAAGGACAGTGTGAGATGCGTGGTGGGTTCTTGGCAGGCATTGTGCCTCTCCACCTGGGGTTGCTGCAAGACACTCGTAGCCCGTTCACATAGTGCTGCTCGGAGTAAGGCTTAGAGTTTGTGACCACCCTCCAGAGGGTCCACAGATGTTATAGGTAATCCTTGTAAGATAGGCACTGTTAGTCCATTGGACCATTGGTCCTGTGATGGGATTGAAGTCAGGAGAGGGAGGAGTTTGCCAAACATTATGTGTCTGTTGAGGGCTGAGACCCAGGAGTGAGACCCCATTGGCAAGGCCCTCTAACCAACCTGGCATTCCGATGGGTGAGTGTGGGGAGTTGAACCCTCCTCCTGCCCAAATTGCTCTGGAGAAATCTCTCCCTCTCCTTTCTGTAGCCACCTTTATCCCATGCTCAGCCCTTCAATTCCTCCTTGGATCCTCCTTCCTGTCCCTGTTTCGTCTGCAGAAGCTCACCTAGTACCCGCTCCCTTCAGCTCCTCTCCTCTGACCTTTCTGCTGGGGATGGGGGTGCCAAGCAGTACAGGAATGTGGGGTTTCTTACCTGCTACCTGGCTGCCCCTTGACTGTCTTCTCTGAACCAAAAGGAGGAGCAGATTGTCACCAGGCTGGAGTCACCAGTGAGGAGGCTGTTAGTGGTGTTTTTCTGGTGACCAAGTCTGTGCCAGGTCTGTCCAGACTAAAACTCGGGGCCACTTGTTTTTTTCTTGAAAGATGCATCCACCTAAGTTTAAAATTAATAAGGTATTGAATCCAAGAACTAATAGATTTTGGTGAATTCTAGTTATACATGATGGAATGAGGGCATTGAATGGTACGCAGCTTGAAGGGCATGTTCCTTGTCCCTCAAGCCTTTCCTTTGCCATGTGTCCTGGCCCTGACCCCAGCCTCATCCTTGATTCTTTCACCATCTTTGTCACCCTGTGTAGTGACTTGTCTCCTACCCACTAGACTGTGAGCTCCTTGCAGGTATGAGGTGTACCTTGTTACCTTGGCATTCCCAAACCAGTGTCTGAGTCAGAGGGGGACCTCGGGGTGTCCCCACCTCACCTGATGCAGGCACAGGCATTGTGAGTGCACAAAAGAGTGGGACAGCCCCAAATGGACTCTTCTGGGAAATGTTGAATGAATGCTTGTGCAGGGACACTTCCTGGGAATCCTTCATCATGTCTTTGGCATCTGCCAGGAGATGTCCCTGGCCCGCCCGGGACAGTCTTTGCATGTGTGGCCACAGCATTGGCTGTGGTGCCCAGCACAGGATCTGGTTGCTGGGAGACGCTGCCCCAGCTTCCTACAGACCTGCATGTTCTCCTGTCAGATAACATGGGGCAGGAAGTTAGAAAAACAGTTATCCAGGCCGGGCACGGTGGCTCACGCCTGTAATCCCAGCACTATGGGAAGGTGAGGAGGGCGGATCATGAGGTCAGGAGTTCAAGACCAGCTGGGCCAACATGCTAAAAACCCATCTTTACTAAAAATACAAAAATTAGCCGGGTGTGGTGGTGCATGCCTGTAGTCCCGGCTACTCAGGAGGCTGTGGCAGGAGAATCACTTGAACCTGGGAAGCAGAGGTTTCAGTGAGCCAAGATCGTGCCACTGCACTCCAGCCTAAGCCTGGGTGACATAGCAAGACTCCGTCTCAAAAAAAAAAAGAAAAGCAGTTACTCACAAGAGCAGATTTACTGGCCTGGACCAAAGTACAGCTTAAGGATCTTAGAAAAATAACTGCAGGTTGAGCCTAGATAACAGAAATCTAGATAATTCCTCCCACACTTCTAACAGGAGGTCCCATTTTTCTTCCTGAATTTTCTGAGTAGCAAAGTTGATCGAACTTGCACTTGTCTCCTTTTGATTTATGTCCATTTTACACATAATCTTCACTTTCCAGTTAGAAGGAAGTAGTTATGTTAGTAAGCAAAGACAGACACCCACTGTCACTCAAGGCTTCTGGAGTATGTAGAAGACTTTCTGAATATAGGGATTTCTGGAGTTCTTGGGGGAAAAAAATCTCCCTCCCAAAGCCATGTTTATAAGCTCTGCTTGACATGACCTGGTAGCTTTATCTTCCTGTGACCGGGGAGTCGGGGACTAGGGGCTCCCTCCTGCTACTCCACTGGGTGTTTACCTTCTCCCAGGGTGGGAGTCATGTGACACCTTAGGGTCTTCTCTTATCCTGCGCAGACTTGAGATTTGCAGAGCAACCAGCCACCTAATGCGTTTTTCCCATTTCCGCCTGTAATCCCCGCTACTCAGGAGGCTGAGTTGGAGAATTGCCTGAACCCAGGAGGCGGAGGTTGCGGTGAGCCAAGATCGTGCCATTGCACTCCAGCCTGGGTAACAAGAGCGAAACTCCGTATCAAAAAAAAAAAAGATGTTTGATTTGTGACTGAATCTGTGCAAAGATCTTCCCAAACATGAACGGCAAACGTTTTGTTTAAGGGTGATAATGTTAGTAGCTACTATTTATTGAGCACGTTCTAGATTTCAGGCAGTATGCCAACATGTCCTGTATATTATCTCATTTACGCCTCACTTTGGCCCTAGTGCTGGGATTAGCCCCAGTTTACAGATGAGAAACTGCAAGGCTTCGAAGATTAAGTGTCTGAGATGAAACCACGGATTGTATCAAGGCTTGAACATAAATTCATTTTTAAATATTCATTTCAACAAAAAATGGAAATACAAAGCAGGAGAAAATTGAGGTTCTGTCAACCACGACGCTACAGGCTCTTGTGTTTTAGTTTGTTTTTTGGTAGTCTCTAAGGGATGCGCTCTCTCCAAACTATCCTGAAAAGCTAGCCTCTGTGGGCGCGGGTCTTGCTCTGGGCATTGGAAAGGGGGGATGAGTAGGTGAAGGTCGCCTTTATTTGGCCCTGGCGGGTGGCCATACCTGAGCCTCACCTGTGTGTGGTGCCTCTCCCCTCTACGTGATTTGGCCTCTGCCATTGCCTGTCCCTAACTTGCCAGGGAAAAGGACACCTGAGGGCTGGGTAGTGGTAGAATTTCATTCTGGCTTCGTCCTCAGCCCCTGCAGCAAAACCGCATCATTTTTAGTGACCCCTAAAGCTTGCATACCCTTTTCTTTCAACATCAGTATTTTTTTCTCACTCCTTCCCCTAAATTCCTCAAATTTCCCCACTTCAGGGCTGAACATCTGTCTCCTTATAGAAAGCAGTGACCAAGGTCCATACTCAACACAGAGCTCAAGGATTTGGGTAGGTCATCCTCCACTTGGTTGTCCTATTCCCTTCCCCTCCTTTTGGGTTTCTGCATCCCCCAAAGGGAAGTTCTCCCCAAATCGCAAGATGCTCC